CTGGAAGAAGCACCAGGCAAGGTCACACAAGCATCGGCGGCCTGGCGGCACATCATGGCGCAGCACAACGCGAAATAATAATAGAGACGCGTGCAAGCCGTCAGTGTGTGACAAGAAAGCCCGAACTGCGGGGCATGGGCATATGCGTCTCCGCAGACCTCGAGATGCTTGGGCCAAAACTATGTGCATGTATCTATACATAGATATAGAACGATACCCCACCCATCCCACCCATCCCGCCCAACTGCGCGGAATCATTATATTCAAACCCGGCATGCCCTCCTGCAGGCGGATTCTGACAGAAAAATGAAAATTGTCGAAACGCATTCCAAAGATGATCGGAAATTGACAACATATCGTCCCCTGCATATGTTTGGCTATGTTTGAACACTCCCCCTGTAGAAGGACGCGACCGATTTGACATTAAACCCGCCACTGGGCCGCTGGGCACGGACTGGGCGTGTCCTCAGGTCCTATGCCTAATCCCTGCAGCACTCCTGAAAAGTCTTTGAATGGTCCGGGACCCCAAACTCTGAAATATATCGGGCCGTCGCTTCCGTTCCCAATCCTCATCATCATCCTCACCGCTCGCCGTCGTCGCCGGTCATGACAGCCATCGCGCGCTTCCGGCAGCAAGCTCCCGGCAGCAACGGAAGCGTCCCGGATCGGCGGCACTGGCCGGAGGCCACTACAAGACATCGGGGTTTCCCGCGTGCCTTCTGGGCTCCCCCGCGGCTTGTCGCTTTATGCGTTCGGGCCCCAAAATAGCCCCAGGACGGGCCAAGAGGACCCCAAGAAACCCCGATGACGGTCCAAGGGGGCCCCGGGTCGCCGAATGATCGCTCCAAGACGCTCAACATGGCCCCCGGACGGCCTAAGAAGCGTCCAAGATGCCTCAAGTGGCCTCCAAGAGGCCCCAAGAGGGCCCCAAGAAGCCAACTGCATTGATTTTCCGCAGGTTTGGGGAGGATGTTGGCGTTCTCGCCTTTTCTGCTTTCCGACGTTCCAAGACGGCTCAAGAGGACCCAACACAAGGCGGCCCAAGAGACCTCCAAGAGGGCCCCAAGATGGTGGAGACAGCGCGTTTCACGGGCGCTTGCCGTGGGAACATTCGACGGCGCGTTTCGAACCAGGGAGGTGGGCCACCCCCCCACATTCGGCGCCGTCGATCAGGACCAGGGCGACTCCCCTCCTCCCTGACCACCCCCTCCCCGAACACCCTTCCCCCCCGGCCAGGGGGGGGTCCCCCCCCCCCCTGGCGCCGGCGCTGGCGGCGGCCAGCAGGCTGGGACGCAGCGACGATGACCAGAGAGGGCCCAGAGGCCGCAGAGGGGAAACACAAATCGCCCTATCGAGCCCTCGCCCACCAAAAGCCACCAGGAGGCCCTTAGGAAGGACAAGGAGGCTTCACAAATGCTCCTCGGACGCCCCCGAGACCCTTCTGACGAGACCTCACGAGGCATCCATTTGAACTCTGACCTGAAGCCACAACACGGTGGCGGGCAGGCCCGAAGGCCACACCAGCACCACCACCAGCACGAAAAAACACCACCACCACCACCAAAAACCACCAGCACAACCACAACCACCACAACCCACCACAACCACAACCACCACCACCACCAAAAAACACTACACCACCACCACAAACGCCACCACCACCACCACAACCCACCACAACCCACCACAACCACCACCACCACAAACCACCACGCCATCACTACCAGCACCACCACCGCCAGCACCACCACCACCACAACCCACCACAACCACCACCACAAACCACCACGCCACCACCACAATCACCACCACCACCGCCACCACCACCACCACCCACCACCCAACACCACCACCAGCACCAGCACCACTAGCAGCACCACCAGCACCACCAAAATCACAGTCTGGCACCACCACTACCACCACCACCACGAACACCACGCCACCACAACCACCACCGCCACCACCCCTACAAGCACCACCACCACCACAACAACCCACCACCACCACAAACTACCACACAACCACCACCACAGCCACCACCAGCACCACCAGCACCAGCACCACTACAACAACCCACCACCGCCACCACCACAACAACCCACCACCACCACCACCACCACCACAATCCACCACATCACCACCACCACCGCCACAACCACCGTTGCACCACCTCCACAACAACCCACCACCACCACAAACCACCACACCACAACTTCAAACCACAAATCACCACACAACCACCACCACACCACCACCACCGCCAGAAACCACCACACCACCACCACCGCCACCGCCACCGCCACATCCACCACGTCGCCACCACAACCTACCACCACCACAACCAACACAACCAACACAACCCACCACCACCACAACCACCACCATCACCACAATCACAACCACCACCATCACCATAAACGCCACCACCACCACAACCCACCACAACCCACCACGACCACCACCATCACACCACCTTAAACCACAAACCACCACACCACCACCATCATCATCACCACCGCCACTACCATTACCACCTCAACCCACCACCACCACCACAAATCACCAAACAACAACCACAACAACCACCACCACCACCATCACCATCACCACAAGACACTACACCACCACAAACACCAACAGCAGCACCACCACCACCAACACCACAGCCCCCCACCACACCTCCCAGAACCACCACGCCACCACCACCAGCGCCACCACCACTACCACGTCCACCACCACCACCACCACAACCCACCACCACCAGAACAACCACAAACGGCCACACAACCACCACCACCACCACCACCACAGCCACAACCACCACCACAACAACCCACCACCACCACCACGAGCACAACCTACCGCCAACACCACCACCACCACCACAAACCACCACACAACCACCACCACCACCACAACCTCCACAATCCACAACTAACACCACAAACCACCACACCACAACCGCCACCACCACCGCCATCACCACCACCACCACCACCGCCACCACCACCACCACCACAACCCACTGCCACCACAACCACTACCACCACCACAACCACCACGACAATCCATCACACCACCACCGCCACCACCACCACAACCCACCACCACCACAACTATCACCACCACCACCACCAGAAACCACAACCCACCACCACCACCACCGCCATCACCAGCACCACCACCACAACCTGCAACCTCAACAACCACAACAACCACCACCACCACCACCAACCACCACACCACCACCGCCACCGCTATGTCCACCATGACCACCACCATCACCACCACTACCACAGCCCACCACCACCACCACCAACTCAGAGAGGCCCCAAGAGAGGCCCCCGAGAGCCCACCGACAAAACACCAAGAGGCATCCAGTAGGACTCTGACACAAAGCACGATGGCGGAGCGTCGTCGTCGTCATCGTCGTCGCCGTCGTACCCGTCGACGCTTCCCGCCGTGCTGTCAGCCGCCGCAGGCGCTAGCGCCGGCCCAGAAAAGCAAGACGTCGTTCGACGCTCCCCGCCGCCGACGCCAGCCGTCACCGACGCCGGCGACGGCCCGAGGAGTGGGAGAGAGGAGAGAAAAAGGGGAGGAGGGAGGGGAGGGGGAGGGGTTCGAACCCCCCCCTTCGGTCACGGGAGAAGGGGGGGGGTTCGAACACCCCCCCGTCAATCCAGGGGGGGGGTGTCCGGTTCCAACCCCTCCCCCCCTCCAAGCGCCCACAGAACGCGCTCTTTTCAAGACGGCCTAAGAGCGCCGCAAAACGGCCCAAGAGGCACCCAAGACGGCCCCAAGACGGCCTCAAACGGGGCCCGAGAGAGGTAACTCTAACCGAAAATCCGAGCCTTTCGCCCCAAGAGGTCCCCAAGGAGACCCCAAGAAGCGTCCAAGAGGCCCTAAGAGGCCCGAAGAGGCCCCCAAGAGGCGCCAAGAGGCCCCCAAGCGGCCCAAAAGGGACCAGAAGAGGCTCCAAAACGGCCCCCAAGAGGCTTCAAAACTGCCCCCAAGAGGCCCCCGAGAGGCCTCACACGAGATCCCAACGAGCATCTAATGGGCTTCATACCCAAAGCCCAGGCACGGTGGCAGCATGGGCCGACGGCAATTCGGTAGTCGCCCGCTGAAGTGTCCCAGATGAACTTGATCCCAGATGAAACGGCCCCATCACGTGGTGCGCAATCAGACAGAAAGGGGGGCTTGTACATTGGACGAGGAGGATGTGGCGAATAAGAAAGAGGATCAACCGCAGCTGAGGGCGGAGCCAGTTCCCCCGACGAGCCTGGCAGCCAGTTGCGTGCAAGGCAGCGGCGATAGCTGCGCGCTGCTGTGTCCGTGAGGTGGTCCCCCATGAGCCACCGCGGCTTTGGACTCATGGTGGGTGTGGAACGCAAAGACGCACAGGCACATCGCATCAGTACGCGAGCGCGGGCAGTCCTGGCAAAGGTTTGCTCGTTTGCATGGAGGCCCGATGATGGAAATGGCCAGCTTCCGAACTGATTGGAAGGGGACTCCACCATGCTAGAACAGGCCGACGAGAAAGAGGAGGACGCGGAGGAGAGAGAAAAGAAAGAGAGAGAGAGAGAGCGAGAAAGAGAGAGAGAGAGGAGAGAGAGAGAGAGGGAGGCCAGAGAAGCGAGATGCCTGATGCGGCAAACTAGCGGCTGGCACGAGACACGAGCTGTACAAGCACAGTCAGACACGCAAGAGGGGTCCGGCATATACTCCACAAGCCGCTCTGGCCGGGCGGGCAGGGCGGGCGAAAGACGAGGCTCGCAACGGCCGCAACGGCCACACTCCTCAGCCGCGGGCTATCCTGGCAAAGGTGTTCGCTGTCGACAACCGTGCCGAGGATGGTGCGTGGGCCGGTTGGAAGGAAGACAGCTGAGCAGGAGGCTGAGCAGGAGGAAGAGCAGGAATGATGAGAAAGGGGGAGCAGCAGCAGGAGGAGCAGCAGCAGGAATTGCAGCGGCGGCGGCAGCCGCGGGGGGCGGACCCTCCTCCACTTCGGCGACGGCCCCCGCCGCGGCGGTCGCGGCCGCGGCCATCTCCTTTCGGAGGGTCTCGATCTCCTGGGCTCCCCGCTGGGGACGAAGGATCGGTCAGCACAGGATTGGGAAATCGAATCAAGCTGTGCGTCGGGTCGGGCGGCATCGGCACAGAGTCGAGATCGAGCCCAGATCGTCTCCACCAGGATGCACCACAGCTCCATGCAAGCATCGGGTCGCATCGGGTCGTCGGAATATCGATATCGACTCGGTTCGAGACGGCCAGAATCGATATCGAATCGGACCGGTCGGATCGAGGAGGACCGTAGGGAGGAGGTGGGTGGAGGGAGGAGGCACGAGGGCGATTGGCTTCACGACGCGAGGCTGAAGACCGCCAGGCAAGCCAGGAAAGCTGCACGGGCCGTCGACTACACACGCACGCACCAACGGAGGAGGGAGGAGGGAGGAGGGAGAAGTTGAGCTGACACTGGCTCACACGGCGTTCGCGCCAGCTGGCTTACGACACGTACGGACAGAGCATGGGCATGCAGAGAGCGGCTGGAGAAGCAGAGAAGCGAGGGCACGCGTTCCGCCAAGCACCGTGCGAACGCACACAGAGTAGAGAACCCAGCAACTTGCGCGCTGCGAACTGCAAGCTAAAATACCAGTGAGTCTCTGATTTCTGGCGCGCGCGGGACAGATAACACACTCGAAGTTGTCTCGCTTGCGCAGCTCAGAGCGTCACCATGGCAATTCATACTGACAGGGTCGACATCAGGAGTTGCATATGCACGTTCACCTGCACTGAATGCCTGGCCCTATCGGATGATATTTTCTTTGGAGCGTCAGCTTGCCTATTCTTACTCTTCGCATTATGGCAGGGATCTGGGAAGCTCTCTTTTAACACGTGCGAGCGCACCGACAGCGACGGAGAGCGAAAGGAACGGACACGGGAAGACGGGAGGAGAAGGAAACCCAAAAAGGCGACGGCGAATAGGGCAGCCGAGGCGGCCAGGACCAGAAGACAGCTACGTAGCGTGACTACTGATCCTGACGCGACCTCCTCGAGCGCAGGCTCGAGGCCCAAAGCCTCGGCTCCATCTCCGGCCTTCCTCCTCTCTCCTCCTCCTGCCTCCGGGTGCCCTCTTCGACACCCTCAGCGACCTTGAGCGACGAGATCAGGTTCCCGGCTGTGCACAGACAGTGATGTGCAGCACCATGACCTTGAGGAGGAGGAGGAGGAGGAGGAGGAGGAGGAGGAGGAGGAGGAGGAGGAGGAGGAGGAGGAGGAGGAGGAGTTGTCTTTCGTCACGTCCCCCCCCCATGCTTGGTGAGGCTTCGGGTTCCGCACAGGCAGCCCACCCCCCAGGGAGCCCCAGCTGGCCTCAAACAGGCCCTCCGAGTAGCCCCGTGCGGTGTCAGCACTCGCCTCCCTCCCTCGTCAAACCCCATCAGTGCTGCAGGAGTCAGCCCCTGACACAGACCGAGGGGGAAGCAACTGTACAGTCGGCGATCTCTGGACCGCGCCTGTGCGAGAGGCCACTGCCATCAGAACTCCCGGCCATGCGGCCAGATCTTGCAGAAAGGCAGGAGAGCCCAGCATCGAACCGGCAAGTCGGATCGGCCATGGAAACGAATAGGATCGGCGGGAATCGGCAGCCAAGTCGGGAGAAGTCGGATCGGCGGAAATCGGCAGGCGATTATAAAAGGGGCCCAGGGACAGACCAATGAATAGACATAAATCCCAGGAGCCCCAACATTTTCTCAGACTTGGGTCTTCGTGTTCCCCCCCACACTTTCCCGGGAGCCCCACATTTCCCCATCTTTTCCCGGGAGTCGACGGGTACTCGTGTCTGTGTTTAAGCAGCCAGGAGGCAGGGGGAGGGCGGAGGAGGGAACGACACCCGGGGCACCGGCGCACCGCCGCGACACAAAAACGCCACAGCGCCCGCTTGGAGGCCGCCAGGGGGTCTGAACTGGCTGGCGCGCCAGGAAAAACGGTCAGGAGCAAAGAAAAAAAAAACGGCACAAACCTCAACTTTTAACGCTCCGCACGGACTTCTTGGAGCTGCGCTGGACCCCCCTCCCTGGCGCGCGGAGCGCACCAGGGGCGGCGCCGGAGGCGCCGCCGGGGGGCCTCAGCGCGGATCCGAGAAAACACCGCGCGGAGCGCAAAAAATTATGTTTATGGCGTTTTTCTTCTTCGAGGGGGGGGGGGAGGCCCAATCCGCTCAGAATCGGTCCCCTCCCCCCCCCTGAGGGTCCGTCTGTTGCAACTCTCCCCCCAACCAAGATCAGCCCTTGCCGGTCTTGGGGCTCGCAAGCGGCCACCAGAGGCCGAGAAAGAGGAAAAACCTTCCAGAACACAGAATCTCTAACATGCCCGCCCTGGGAGGGAGGGAGGGAGGGAGGGAGGGAGGGGGGAGGGGAGGGGAGGGGAGGGAGGGAGGGAGAGAGGGGGGGAGGGAGGGAGGGGGGCAGGAACCAGGTGCTGGGCCACCTCAGACCCCCAGACGGCTCCAAGCGCCTGTCAGTGAACATGCGATTCCTCGAAGGCGGGCCCATTGTAGCCAACGTCGTGCAGAGAGCCGCGCGGGTGCCCCAGGCAGGGGCAACTGCCCCGGGCCAAGGTGGGGAAGAGCGCCATGGCAACATGCCAGCAGTGCCGTGCCCACCCACCGTGCGCAGCGTCCGTGCGCTAGCGCAGATGCAGACCGCCCCCGCATGCACGAAGCTCTGCACCTAGAGTACAGATGGACTTCACTGGAAGCATTTTCTGAGGCAGTGGTCCAGGTCCAGATGCGAAACCGCCCCTACAAAAAGCTTTACACCCCGTCCCGGTCCAGATATCCGAGAGTTCTACGAACAAGAGAACCATCCGGGGAAGCGCCGAGGGCCCAGCCCAGATTCTGGCCCCTCTTGGACGACATCTGGAGTCCATGGAAGCTGCTGCTCCGTCTTAAGACTTCTGACCGGTGAATGCGGGACCCCTCGCGCACGATCCCGGCACGGTGGCGGCATGCACCGAAGACCACTCGGCCAGCCGCCCCGAATGTCCAGACAGCGTTTGTCCCTTCTGGGCGGGTCCCACCCACCCCTCGGCCCGTCCCGCTGGCGTACCCATACCCGGAAGAGACGGCCTCGCTGGCCGACTGTGGCTTCCAAGACACCCCCAGAAGGCCCAAGCCGGTCACGGGTGGCCGGCGAGACCTTTTCCCGAGCGCCTAGGATGGCCCCAAGATAATCTCAAGAGGGTCCAAGACGATCTCTTGGGGGTCTCTTGGGCAATCGTGGAGGCCTGCAGAGTCGGTCCTACGGTTATGCCATGTGTTGGAACCTCTCAGTCTCGTTTTCAAGAGTGCGTAGGACTGACCAGGAGGCAAGCAACAAGGACATGCCCAATAGCCCTAAGAGGACCACAAGATGGCCCAGGATGGCCCCAAGACGGCCATCAAGGGCCCCAAACTGGTCCCAAGACCGCCCAGAGTGGCCCTCGTCGGCCTCCAGCCAGACGGTCCAAGAATGCGCTGAGGCGGCCCAAGTGAGCCCCCAAGACGGCTCAAGATAGCCGCGTGTGGCCATCAAGGACACCAAGCGGGCCCCAAGCCCGCGAGAGCCCCAAGACGCCCAAGAGAGCTCCAGGAGGTCCCCAAGAAGATTGCCAGCGCAGTGAACTGCGCAAGCACCCAAAACGAACTACTAAAATATGCGATGCAGTGACGCGTGAAAACTCCAACGGATATAATTCGACATATTACCGGCCTGGTGGCTAAAGAAGGCGGCCCAAAGAGCATACTGCTGGATAGAAAAATCCAAAGTGCTGATCCATCGTATAACATGCGCTGGCGCTTGAAGCATGTGCCCTGGCGCCTGTGCACCCTGACGCTTGAAACATACGTGAACCTTGGCGCTTGCAACATGCGCGCGCCATGGTGCTTGCAATGCTGAGCCCACGTGTGCGCCCTGGTCCGGTCTCAACCCCCGCTCCCGCGTCGGAGGCTGCCGATTCCAAAGTGCACACTGGTGCCTAGAAGTATGCGAGCCCCACTCAGCTCGAAGCTTGAACTGCTGAGCCTCAGGATGCAAGGGATGACGAGACCAGGCACGAAAAGACGCATGGAAGGAGAGAGGGACGCCCGCCGAGCGGGGACGAGAGGCGAGGCTGAGAGAGCGAAGGGCCGAAGGAGGAAAAGCGAGCGAGGGATACTGCGCGAGGGTGCGAAAGCCAGGGAGGGGGCGAACCACAGGCAATTGGGCCAAGGAAAGGAAAAAAACGCGCGCGAGGGGATATACGGAGCACGCGCGCCGCTGCCGGCCACCGGGTGCACCGACACACAGCCCACCCGGTGCGAGCACTGCTGTGGGCGGCGCTCCGAGGGGGGGGAACGAGAGGCAGGAGAGCCCAGAGTCGAATCGACAAGTCGGACCGGCGATCGACATGAATCGGATCGGCGGACATCGGCAGCCGAGTCGGAAAACATCGAATGGGCGGAAATCGGCAAGCTGGTATGCGTCCAGAGATCAATCGGAAACCCAAAGCGGAATCCGAAGTCGAATCGAAGCGGAATCGGAAACCGTCGATATCGAATCGGAAACGAATCGGAGGAGTCGAAATGATCCCTGCGAGGGGGTGGTCGGTCCTTCTCAGAGGTCTCAGAAGGCCTCCGGGGCCTTCGCAGAGAGCTGAGAAAGCCTCCAAGGCCTTCTCAGAGGGCTCTGAAGGCCTCCTCCTCCTCCTCCTCCTCCTCCTCCTCCTCCTCCTCCTCCT